TGCTTATTAAACTTTCTTAGAAATTGAATGCTCAAAGCCTGATCTCTATAAACATACTATACCTATTCAGTCTTGTTATCCAAAATGCAGTAAAGGGGAGAGACAGCAGGTAAGCTCACCATTTCTAGAGCACAATAACTAAAAATTGCAAATGTGTGACCAATCATCCTCATGCTCGCTAGTACAAGCAAAGTGGAAGAAGAGCGCTAGAATTAAGATGCACCTGTCCCACCTTCTGAACTGTAATTTCCAGAAATGGTAGGAAGAAATCAGACTGTGCCATTTTGTTGGAGGCAGAAGTAGACATCAGGGGATTTGCATTGGATCGGTTCAACTTGTTCTTTACCGAATGAATCCAAAGGTTTGCCATTGGAGACCAGTTATCCTCCATGTGGGATTTATCTGTGGGATTCCACAGGACGCAATCCTATCCCCCTTGCTCTTCAATCTCTACGTAAAGCCTTTAGGCTAAATCATTTGTAGTTTTGTGATCGGCAGTCCTTGATATGTTGACTATACTCAGGCCTATTTATCCTTATCCAGTTCTCCTGGGCCTTGACCTGGATGATCCAGGATAGCCTCAACTTGTCAGATGTTGAAACCCAGATGTGTTTGCCTCTGGTTAGTAGTTGGATAGGAGACCAGCAAGGAAGTGCAGAGTTGCTACTCAGACGCAGGCAATGGCAAACCACCCCAGAATGCCCGTCCCCCCACCAGGATGGCAAAGGGACCCGGCAACCCTACCTATGCTCCACCATGACATCTTCACTCATCTGAGCAGGGCCTTCTCTGGGTACCACCCTACAAAACAACAACCACCTTCTCCATTGTGCCTCCATCTTATGGAATGATTTGCCTGTTGAGGTCAGGAAGGCTCCCAGTCTGCTGGCTTTCCAAAAACTATGCAAAACAAAATTATTCAAGAGGGCTTTTTGCACAGAAAATAGGGCTACAGTACGACAAAACAATTCAGAGAGAAGCTTGAGGAAAATGTTGGGGACTGTAGAGCAGGAGTCCCCAAACTTTTCAAGCCTGCAGGCACCTTTTGAATTTTGACACAGAGTAGTGGGCACAGCCACAAAATGGCTGCAGCAGATTACTTTTAGTCTCACAGTGGAGATCCTTTTGCTGCAACGGCAGCGGCTACCAAAGCAGTGTTTTTTAAAAACCTGTAAAACCAATCAAATCTCTAATGGCTGACCAGAAACCTTGCTGGGAAAAGGCCTACCTGGCCATGCCCACTTTCTAAAAACATTCAGCAGGCACCAGGAAAGGTGCTGGAAGGTACCATGTTGGTGACCCCTGCTGTAGAGTACTATATTTCACTTGTACTATCTGTTGCTTTAAGTAAGTTTCTAGTATGCAATTTGATTGAAGGTCAAAGAAGACGGGGACGGCAAAGGATGAGATGGTTAGACAGTGTCATAGATGCAACGAACATGAAGTTGAGCCAACTTCAGAGGATGGCGGAAGACCGGAAGGCATGGCGTGATCTGGTCCATGGGGTCGCAAAGAGTCGGACTCGACTGTGTGACTGAACAACAACAACAGTATGCAATTTCTGCTTTGTTTAATGTGTAATGTTAATACTTATGCCATGTTTCACCAATATTTTTGATCTCTGGTTGGTTCCAGATTCTTTTATAGAGTCAAACCTTGCTTACTCATACAAGATCCACCTGTTTTGCATTTTGTAACGACATATTGCTGGATGATGAAAGACCGGATGAGTTTATGGCTAATGATTTTTAAAAATCCACTTTCCTTCCCCCTTTTGGGTTTTACGGAAACGGTTCTCTTTAATTGCAGGCCGTGAATGTTGTAATATCGGTTGCAGCTTTATTATGTAACACGTTTCTTTCTCTGGGTTGTATCTTGATCTTATTTAATGTAACATGTTTCTTTCTCTGGGTTGCATCTTGATCTTATATTCTATCTGGCTAAACTAGTTCTTCTGTTAACAAAAAAAAAGCATGGTTTGCGAATGAATACATTTATATTTTCCAGTCAGAGTATTAAAAAACAACAAAAACACCATACCAAACGGTTTTTGGCCACCCCTGAGTCTTGGAAGGTGGGGCCAGTCCAGCCAACCCCCTTGCCCTGTAATGCCAGCCCCACCTGGGCTGGTTGGACTGGTTTGAAAGTCCAAGGGAAAGCAGAGGGAAGGCAATGCAAAGCATTGCAGCTTCCAGAAGGAGCCGTCCTCCGGTAACTGGATTTACCTCCTAGCGATCGGAGCAAGCTCAGTTTTGTTTCCTCAGGTGGAAAAGTGAGTCGCAAAGCAGGGAGGTGGGTTGGGAGGAGCAGGTAACAGGGAGAAGGGTGTGTGTGTGCCATGCAGAGTTTATGTATGCCTGTCACCGGCTAGGTAAGATCCATTTTCTTTGTTTTCAATTTCCCCCCCGTACTCCCCCCCCCTTAAATCGTCCTCCCCTGCCAATTTACTTCTGACTTGCCTCCTGTTCTAAACTGGCTTCGAAGAGTTTCCAGTTTCCTGATGGTGCTTTGTCGCTTCCTTCTCTTTTTACACCGGCTGGCCTGGTTTCTGCCCGCGAGACTTTGGTAGGGGTGGGAATAGTTGTAAAACGATCAAGGTATCCTGAATGAGGTGGATTAGTTTTCCCTTTCCCCGTCGCGGGTTAAGTATTTTCCGTGTGATCATCCTTGAAATATTATCTTGTTTACTATTACTATCCCCCCCCCCCCCCCACTCCGGTCGTATATAACACGGTGTAGCGCTGGAATGTGTGTGTGTGTGCCAGGCCGCCTGAGCAATTAGAAAAGGGCTTCTTTGAGCATAACAAAGCGTTACAGAGTGCCCTCACATAGGTTGGGGACTACAGAGGTGGACATTTTCAGGCAGGTATTAACCTCTAGCACCTCTGACCTTAGGAATTCACCAGAGTAGGGGGCCTCAGTGTCAGAACGAAGCAATAGCCTTGACGTTCCCCTCCATAGTCTCTGGAGTGGCAAAACCGAATGTTCTTGAACAATTTTGGAGTGGGAAGGTCCTTTTTCTAGTAAGTCCTGACTCTAGTCTTTTCCCCTCCTTAGATTGTAACTATTTTCCCTCCTGCGTTCTACATATTGCTGCTATAGGGAGCAATCCTAAAGCAGATCTACTTGGAAATAGGATCCATTTTATTCAGTGGGGCTTACTTCCAGGAAAGTGTATTTAGAATTGCAATAGCACAGTAGGGATGTAAGAGAGATATGGACTCAGAAGTGCCTCATTTGAATCTTGGTCACTGGAATGAACTAAATGGCCTTAAGCACACTGAATCTCAGCCTGGTCTCAGCCTGCTGTGAAGGTTTGTGATAGTAATTGCCTACCTTACAAGGCTGTTGTAGGGATTGTGGCTCAGTTCAGATTTTGGAACAAGTCAAATTTTAGATTTTTGACACTAGGGAAAATAACAGGGGAGGGTAAGGGTAAACGAATATGAGTCAATGCAACAACAGCTCCTTCATAAGCGAATATTGGGTTAAATGTAAAAAAAAATTGCCTTGGAAGCACAGAAGCTTTACACATGATCCCTGATTCACTACCTTTCCGGTTAAGGGGAATATGCTATTCAAACAAATTACAAAGATGATCTGACTCCAATGGTAACAAGAGAAAGAAATTTTACTTACAAAAATAGAAGTGCATCTTACATGGCATATTAATGTAGATACATTTATTTAACCTATTGTGAACAGAGTAACTTTAAGAAAAAGTTAACTTGCTATGGCTCCAAGCCCAGGTAAGAGAGAGAAGAGGGGTCCTATATAAGATGAAACAGAAGGCAAGCAAGGGCCAAAGAGGCTCATTATCTGACCAATGAGAGGGTGGGGCCAAGTGTAACTGAGTGAGAGAATTCTCTTAACCCTTTCCCTCCCAGATCCTCTTGTATACAGAGTTACAATATCCGATCTCCACAACGGTCCTTATTTACCAAGCAAAGTTCCAGTTTTTTGTTACTATCCTTAATAAATTGCTGTTTGAGCCAGTTTGGTGTAGTGGTTAAGTGTGTGGACTCTAATCTGAGAGAACTGGGTTTGATTCCCCACTCCTCTACTTGCAGCTGCTGGATGACCTTGGGCAAGCCATAGTTCTGTCAGAGCTGTTCTTGAAAAAGAGCAGTTTCTATCAGAGCTCTCTCAGCCCCACTTACCTCACAGGGTGTCTGTTGTGGGGAGGGGAAGGGAAAGGAGACTGTAAGCTGCTCTGAGACTCTGAGTGAAGGGTAGGGTATAAATCCAATCTCCTCCTCCTCCTCTTCTCTTCCTTTGGAGGATGCATTGTTAAAACCTTGTGAGTGCAAATTACTTTCATTGCTTCAGGGTTCAGTTCCCTCCTCAGCATCTCTGCAAGTGAAATCTCTGCCTGAGTGGATAAGTCTTGTCTGGAGTGCTGATCTGCACAGGTCAGTGCCTGCACATGAACGGGTGATGAGTGCACAGCCTGTAGTTTAATATCCTGCAGTTGCTGAGTTCTCTTTTAAAGTGTGATGGCATGTTATCAGGCAACTGTGCTTTTCTAATCTATCTTGAATAAACACCATCTTGGCTTTTAAATCAACAGAAGACCAGCTATAGCAAAGTAGTGCCTTGAACAATGCATTGGAGCTAAGGGAGATGTGAGCAGTGCCTTTTGGTATAAGAATGGGGTGTTGCCAACATCTTATTTTCATCTATGACACACTGCTGGGAATGGAATCTCAGGTCTGGGAATGAGGACTAAGGAATAAAGGCAGGCGGAAAGACTTCTACCAGGATGTGAGCAGTGCCTTTTGGTATAAGAACGGGGTGAGGACTAAGGTATAAAGGCAGGCGGAAAGACTTCTACCTGCAGTGTGCGGTGGTCCCATCTCTTCCCTCCCACGGCAGCCCCAAAAGTACTCCAGATCTCTCCGCAAAAAGATGAGGAGAACATTTTGAACTGCTGCAGGAGGGAGGAAGAAAACTGCAGGTAATGCTCCCTCTAAGCTGTGGAGTCTTGTGAGCAAAAATTCTATTTTGTGAGCTACTGGCATTAAAGTTGTGAGCAAGCGATTTGGCTCCTGCATAAATTAGTTGGCTCTGCAGCCATCCTTCCTGAGCTAAGACAAAAACATGTGACCCGGAGGCTCAAGAACTGTGAACTAGCTCACGCTAATTCAGCTTAGAGGGAACACTGACTGCAGGTGGAAGTCCTTTTGTCTGTGGAAATGCTTGTCTGGACCCAACCCAATAACTTTACAAAAGAAATGAGTTTTGAGGAGGGATTTGAAAGGCAGAGGGATGGGAGTGGTGCCACATTTGGGAAGACGTTTCTGGAGTAAGGGACAGCGCAGCAAGGGAGAATGCGTAGAGCTGCTGAAAGGAGTGGAAGACTGTTGGGCTGCTTGGCTAACCCCCCCACCCCCGGATAAACATCTTCCAGCCTTGGCAATAGGCCAAGAAGGAAACATTCTGGTTAAGTTTGGTTCTGGCTTCTAGCCAGGCTGTAGCTCTACATTAGGCAGAGCCCGCTTCTGTCTCCAGTCAAAATCACGAGCAGAGAAGTCCATACCAGATTGTGTTGCTTCCACTCCAAGCTTGATGTTTGACATCTCTCTCTTAAAGATTAACCAGATGGACTAGAACTCCTTTTATTTATTCTTTCATGTGCCCCGTGGAAAAAAAAATATTGGCTGTGAGATTTCCTTGCTAGCAGCAAGGTTTGCTTGTCTCAGAGTCCTAGTTTACAGAACGTCGATGATGTCATCTCATGCATGCGTGTCTTTAAAGCTTGTGTGTGCTTTTCCATCCCTTTTGTAGAAGAAGGACTGTGCCCGAGAAAATGAGATGGCCCACCGCCTAAACTTTCCACAGATGACCACCTCTACTTCCCAAATCTACACAGAGGTATTTTGCTCTCCTGAAACACATTGTTTGTGAGTTAAGAAGAGATCGCAGTCATGGACATCTAGCTTGATGAACTTTTGCAACACAGGGGGTTGCCAGAGGCTGGAACAGCCCTGAAAAGGGTTGGAGACCCAAAATGGCAGCCGCCAGTTCTGTTACCCCTTCTGAGGAGGTGGCGTTGGTGGCTTTCGGGAAGGACTTGCCCAGGGACAAGGTGAACCAAAGCTACCCTCAAGAGCAGAGTTCTGAGGATCCTGAGGCTACCCTACGATGGAATGATGCGTGTCACAGTTCCGCTTGTGAGACTGCAGCACTTGAAGTATCTAAGAGTGACATGAGGCCTAGTCCTGAGGGGAGCAGAGAAGATGCCAAGGGGGGCCCTCTTGTGGGTGATGAGGCCTTCTACAAAGCTCCCACCACCAGGGAGGAGGATGGGGAGAGCAATGGAATGCCTGAAGCGGCAGCTCACGTCTTTGTTCCCATTGACCCCTGTTGCATTGAACACACCCCGACGGGGGATGAGAAGAAGAGGAAACAACACGAATGCGAAGAGGAAATTGTGCTCTGTGAAAAGGAGAAGGGCGACTCTGAGAAGCAGAATTTCATCTCTCGTGGTTACTCAGCACACTTTGACGACTTGCCTAGCTGTGATGGAGAGCGAGCCAAGTCGTACTCTGAGAGGCTGGAGTGCCTTCTGTGCCGCAACTGTAACTCTACCAACCTGAAGGCCGTGGCCTCCATGATTGGAGCCACAATAATTTTCCCTTGCCTGATTTATGGCGCGTATGTCTTCCTGCCCTTTGACGCACCTCTGATGCCCACCATGAGCACCCGCTTGGTTTACACACTTCGCTGTGGCGTGTTTGCCACTTTCCCAATCATTATAGGTAAGCAAAACTATGTACTTTGTGTTTCTTCAGCAAGAGAAGGGTGGTTATAAGAAAGGAAGGATTTCCTGGCAGGCTCAGTAGCTCAGCATCTTGCCTACTAAAAGTAGCCAGCTAGATGCCCCATGCAGGGGCTCATAAACAAACTCTGGTGGGCAAATCCCAGGCTACCTCTACTCATGCATCTTACAACAAGTTTTATTCTGCAGTCCTCATTAATTGTACAAATATATTTTCAATGATAATGTCTTAATCTTTTGCCTGTTCTGGGGAGGCAGGAAGCAATGAGGCCCCACCTCTGCTCAGCCCCTCTGTTACGTTTGATATTTTACTTTTTCGTCTTTTGTATTCTAGGATCTTGCTTTTATTGGGCATGGGGAGATGTGATTCTTGATGCCGAATTCTTTGCCCAGTGCCAGATTTTGCATTTTTGCTGGGGAAGAAGCTCATGCCTGCTTCCTACAGATACTTTTAAGGATATTTTTGTCTTCCTGTTCGGAATCTTGTGTTATTTAGAAATGTACATCGTCTAAGTAGTTCGGCAGCTTCAGAAGCACACTTGCTGCACTGTGGTGAGCTTTGGGAAAACCTGTTCTGTCAGTTTGCAGCAGAAGCCACTTTACACAGCAGTGATTGGCCAGCATTTGGAACATCACAGTTCTGTCTCTCCCCCGTTGCATCCCCAGAACCATTTTACAGCTTTGTTAAGATAGGCTTTCCTTGTTCCCGGGGAGGGGGGGACAACCCTGATCAAATATTAAGCTACGTTTAGAAGGTTGACAGTCCACCTTGCAAACTGTGGAAAGGAACAAGACCAGATGACTGAAATCAGTGTTTGGAGTACTTTAAGTACACCTGTTGGATAAATTGGGAAGGCTAGGGAAGCAGGGGACACACACCTAGAAGAGGGGAGAAAAGCCACTTTGGAGTTTCTTGTTAAGAGTATGCTCCTCCTTAAATCTTCTAAATATAAAAGGATCATGGTAATTAACAGCATGTACAGACTTAACCAAAATAACATGGCAAAATTGTGAAAAAATTCTCAGAAAATGCTATAAGCCATGAATTGAATGCATTTAACAATGAAGTGCAAAACCACACACCCAAATGTCTAATTTACTGTCCTTAGCTATATATCATCCATCTCAATCTCGTATCAAAGTGAATGAATATGTATCAAAGATGTTTGACAATTCTAAGTTGCATTGAGTCCATCTCAAAATAATATAACAAAGTGTCCTCAGAAGTCCTCTGTAATGAAATTAAAGTTCGTGACACGCTCAGAGCCTGACTTGAATTATATCGGTTTGTTTTGTAAATAAGGAGGCAGCTGCATTCTGTTGTTAATATCTGGGCAATAATGGTGATTGGCCACTCGAATAAGAGGATCAACAGCTCTTGATAAAGAGATTTCTTGAGACGGTCGCTATCGAATGTCCCTCAAGGTTTTGGATCTGTTCCAGCTGATGTTATATTGCCCTTAATTTGATAACAGTCCTTGTTAAGTGAATAGCTAAACTACGTGACGATAACCTGAAGAAGTTTGGTGTGTCACAAACTTTAATTTTCACTTCAGAGGACTTCTACGGACACTTTGTTATATTATTTCGAGATAGACTCAATGCAACTTTGAATTGTCAAGCATCTTTGATACATATTCATTCAGTTTGAGATGGATGATATAGATAGCTTAGGACAGTAAATTAGACACTTTGATGTGTTTCTTGTACTTTATTATATCATTCTTCTTAAATCTTCAGCATGTGGTGGTATGGAGGAGGGTGTGGCAGTGAACATCGATGGGTGTGGTGTGTCAGTGTGTAGAACAGTGGCAGTGTAGGACCAGCAAATTCCCACTCTGCCATGAAGCTCACTGAGTGATCTCAGTCTTGTTTGTTGGTTTAAGATATTTCTGCCCTGCTTTTCTCCTATACATACAACTCTGTTGCTAACTTCCAGCCAGTGTTCCCTCTAAGCTGAGTTAGTGTGAGCTAGCTCACAGTTTTTTTAGCCTCCGGCTCACACATTTTTGTCTTAGCTCAGGAAGGATGGCTCCAGAGCAAACTAATTTATGCAGCAGCCAAATCGCTCGCTCACAACTTTAATGCCAGGAGCTCACAAAGTAGAATTTTTGCTCACAAGATTCCACAGCTTAGAGAGTGCATTGTTCCAGCCTAACGTACTTTGGAAGGTGTCATGAGCATAGGATGAGAGAGAAGCATGTTTGCTACTCTGAGTTCTTTGGAGAAAGGGCGGGATCAATGTGTCATCATGAAATATGCTTCTGGCGATGTCCAAATAGTTACTGCCTCCGTTCCCCTCCAGGGAGTTCAGAGAATGTTGGTTTCACAACACCCCTGGTAAAGTAGGAGGGTGAGAAGATTTCAAGTATCTCAGCTAGAGATGTAACTTTACTGTAAAGTTGTTTAACTGGCTGCCTTTGATGAACCAATTAGGTGGTGTATAACCAACCTGATTAGATCTAAGTATTGCATAACCTCAGTGATACTGCAACTGAGAGAGGCGCCTGGACTGACTCCTCACTTCCTCTGCCCTTCATTATTTTATTATACTTTATAGCTTGCTCTTCAGCCGAAGTCTGGCTAACCAAAGTGACGAAATTACATTGTAAGAAAGGATGTGTGGGTGAGTCACAGCCATAAGATAGTGGAAACGTTTGTGTTGATAAAGGGAGGCGTGCTGCATGTCTCACAATTATGACATGGTCAGAGGCACTGAGAACACATTCTGAATCTAAGCCCTGTTAAAAACAAATAAGTTATGGTCATGATTGTGGCTAGGGTTGGAGTTCCAACTTCTCTGTGCCAGAAAGCTCACACAGAAGTGGGTGCCATTTTGGGGTTCCATTGCACAGCTGCAGAATTGAATAGTCAAACTAAGAATTACATGCTTTAGCAGACGGCCACAGAGATGAGTTTGAAAAGGCCCAAGCAGCCCTAGGTAGCACTTCTGAGCAGTTTGTTGTTGTTCAGTCACACAGTCGAGTCCGTGACCCCATGGACCACATCATGCCGGGCTCTCCTGTCTTCCGCATCCTCTGGAGTTGGCTCAATTTCATGTTCGTTTAATCGATAACACTGTCTAACCACCTCATCCTTTGCCGTCCCCGTCTTCTTTGACCTTCAATCATTCCCAGCATCAGGGTCTCCTCCAGCGAGTGCTCCCTTCTCAGGCACTCATGTAAAAGGCAAGAAAGGGGTTGGTCTTTGGATTAAAGCTGTAACTAGAAAAACATAATCGTGCCATAATAGTAATCACCACATGCCTCACTTGAGGGGTCAGGGTAAGATTAAACGATGGGCTGATTGATTCTGCTTTTCCCTCCTGATGCTGACACCCCCTGTGAGATGGGTTGGGCAGAAGGCAAATAACCGGGCCGAGATCACTCAGTGAGCATCATGGCTCAAATGGGGCTTTGGATTCAAGTCTACAAGTCCAACACTCTGACCTCTGTTCTGCATCTTTGACCCTCTTTTCAATAGTTCAAAATATATCAGTAACATATTCTGCAATGGCTGCTGTGTATGGAGCAGCAAAGCGGTGTGCTGTATGGCACTTCTAGTCCTCATGTGCACAAACAGCTGCCATTGACCATAGATGTTATTCACATGGATGTGTGCTATAGACAGGATGTATCCATTCCCCACTGTGAGACTGTGTTCCTGGGGAAGGAGCTGAACCCTGAAGGATAACTTGGGTAGCAACTCGCATTTAAAAAAATGAAAACGGTATCCCCAAAGGTAAGAATAGAGAGAGAACAGGGAACTGTACCCAGTAGCTTGGGACAGTTGGAGCATCGCTAAAGAGCAGAGTCATGCATGCTTGTATTATTTATGTAGGTCCCAGAATACAGCTTTGCTTAGAATTGAACTAGACAGGGTTTTTTTACAAGTTGGGTATGAGTTCTCCAACCTGACGTTCAGACCATCAGGCACACATCATGTTGTTGGGATCAGGACCAATTTTTATTTATTTATCAATGCTCCCTCTAAGCTGTGGAGCCTTGTGAGCTAGAGGGAACAATGAACAGAACCATGGTGGAGGGGGAAAGTGGCTTTAGCCTTCTCCTGTGCTGTTTTCCCAACCTGAAACAGTACAGGCACAGCTCCCCCCCACAAAAAACCCCCCCAAAAAACCCAACCAACCCAGGTCAAATAACACTCCCAGACTCTTTCAGGATGGGAAAACAGTTGGGCACTGGCACAGGATTCTGCCCTTCCTTTAGTACAGTAAACACCTTATCCCTGGTATCTACTACAAAAAAATCATGTTTTGATGTTCAGATTTGCTATCATTTTTGCCTTTCCATTTCAGGCATGGTTGTGTATGGAGTGTCCCGCCTCTGCTTCTCCTCCCTACAACCCTTTGGGGAGCTGCGGCGGGAAGTGGAGATCCACCGCCACTACGTGTCCCAGTCGGTCCACCTTTTCATCCTGTACTTCTTCAACATCGCCGTTCTCTCCACTTACCTGCCTCAGGAAGGCCTCAAGCTCATTCCTTTGCTGACGGCCCTCTTTGCCATTTCACGGTAAGAGAAGCTTTCGTGCCAGCATCCTCCCACAACTATGGCTCTCTTAGTAAATTCTCCCTGGTAAGGCTGATGGGTAGCTGGGGAAATGTATCCGGCGCAAGGAGTTTAACCCAGACCATTACAGTGGAGGAAGTATGGGAGGAGTATCTGTCTGACATACTATGAGGAGCAGCCAGCGTTTCATCATTTAACTGACATGCTGCTTTTCTCCCCCATGAAGTCTCAAAATGGCTTCAGACATTGTTCTCCTCAAACACAACCCTGTGAGACAGGCATATAGTCACCCAGTGAGCTCTCACATCAGAGTTGGGATGCGGACCTGGTTCTCCTAGGTCCCAGTCCAGAACTCTAACCACTGAGGAGAAGTATCGTGAAGAAGCTATCCATGAAAACAAAGAACGATCGAGTACCTACATAAATAAAAGATATTCTGGAAGCAGGGCCTGTGATAACAATTCCACAAATTGGGGGAGAACTCATATTTAGTTCTTTTCCATTCACAAATAAAAACCCGTTTTCACAAACTGGGTCTGTTTCTCTCTGGAGAAATGACCAGGCTGGCTAAACTGCTGCAGTAGGCCACGAAACTACATAATATTTCTGTTGGATAGAAGGATCCGTACAGACACTCCTTCCAGAAATACCCAAATAACTTCCAAGGGGTAACTGCTGTTCCTTCAAGTATTTCCCATCTTTTTGTTCCTTGGGCATATTGAGGTCTTAAAGTTGGGATTATAATTTTATTTACTTCCATGATTGGGTTTTTAGTGTGCAGCAAAATTTATTTATTTATTTTTCAGATTTTTACCTCACCCTCCTGGCCGAAGCTGGCTCAGGGCGGCTCACATGAAAACAGATAATTACATTAAAACATAGTTGTGGTTAAAACAAATATAAAATCATAATAAAGTGCTAGTGGTTCTTCATAGTCATATAACAGTATCAGCTAGGGCTGCCAAGCCGCGGCGGGGGATCCACATGTCTTTACAGGATCCCTGCCGCGGGGGACAGCGATACGCGTTGCACCGCCGTCGCCAGGATGTGACGCTATGCGTCGCTCTGGCAACGGGGCTGTTTGGAGTCCCGTTGTCAGAGCGACAGGTAGCGTCACATCCTGGCGACGGCAGTGCAACGCGTATCGCTGTCCCCGGCGGCAGGGATCCCGTAAAGACATGCAGATCCCCCGCCGCAGCTTGGCAGCCCTAGTATCAGCCAGTGTAGAACATTCTCTGCTCGCA